TTAAGCGATTACTTTAATGTTTTACAACACTCTTTTGACGACACTGTTTTCGCGAAATGATATTTACAATACTGAATGAAAGATACCCCACAGCTTACAACGGCTTACAATAGAAAAAAGTAAATGCAAGCTTACTAAATAAACGAGACTACATAATGCAAAAAACAGCGCGCCAAAAGACTGAAAAAACGAGTCTTAAAAGCATATACATATGTATGTATGTATGTATGTACAATGTTGCCTTAGAGTTGCGCATAGCTTTTTAAGATAAATACAATTTCGGTACTCACAACGTTTCATAAAGCATCGTAAAATCATTAAATCACAAATTTTTATACTAGTTTAAAAAAATTGTTGTTGGATTGCATACTAAAATAAGTTTAAGGAAATACAACACTGAACGCTATGTCCTTCGGTTCGGTACTTTATGGGACTATGTGAAACCCCTAAATATAAACTGAGATCCTCATTACCTCATATAATTTTCCATATGTATTAAAACCAAAACATATAGGCAGTAAACTGTTTTTTTTAGATAATAATTAAATAGTTTAGCTTTTATTTAACATTTTTAAATTAGTACATAATAATTATGTATTCATTAAATTAATACATAAATTCACACTCATATGCATATTTTAATATTTTATTAAATTTGCTGGACATTCAATATAATATACTGCACTAAATTTCAATTTCGAAATAAATAAAAATTACCAGTTAATACAAGAGGCACAAAAGATATCGGGAAAATACTGTTTCCATTTAATATATATCACAAAATATTATATATTAAAGATTCCTATTAAAGTTTTTTTTAACTAAGATAGTTTTGCGAAAACATAACATACGAGAATTCGGACAATTTATTTAATTATACATTAGCAGCTTTTTACTGTGTTTTMTTATGAAACTGATGAGCTCTATTCATAGCGTCCATTTAACATCCCATTATTTACCATACATGACTACGAGTTTCGGTTTTATCTCACTTTAACTAATGGTAGTTTTTTATCTGTTTCGAGGAWTTTATGTGATTTGTTAATATAACTTTATTTTTATTAATACCTTTTTTTAATTTTAACATTCAACTTTGTTTTTTGTAACTCTTCATTTTCGTTTTATTTTCAGCTCATTCAGTATAGTACTTGTAGATTTATTTATTATGTTACCTATGGTATATGGTATACCTTTCTGATGGGCGAATGCTTAAATTTCAAAAAATAAAAGAAATAACAGTGGATATTTATGTTATGTGTCTTTGGCTTATTTTTATTTTTTTCTCTTTGTAATGCAGTCCACGCGATAAATTTGAACAAACAACTTCATATATATGCATATATATATACATATATATGTATAACAGCATGTGCAGATAAATTAACTTACGCTTACTCATTTTCTCGATAGCTACACTCCCAAATGTACCTTGAGAACATTTCCCTTTAATCCAACTTGTTTTATTATATTTAACTAATGGCGTGTGAACATTATTTAACACATATTTATTTACATATATGTATCTACATATATTTTTATGGTATATTTTTCCAATTGGCCAAAGAACTTAAATCAGTGCTGTATTTATCTACTATATGTATATACTTATACATATGTCTATATGTACATACTTACATGTTCATATATATGTACATATATAAGTAATCCATAGTTAAAATAATATAACGTTATGCACCTTGTGATCAATGCATGAACGCAATGAACCCCTCTCGGAACTGTTTTTGATATGATCAAAAAATGCACTTTTCATTTTTTTCACGTTGTTTTTCAGGCAAATAAAAATGGTGATTGGTAGAGAAATCCGTTTTTTTACAAAAAACCGTTCTCTTTTCTTCATTTTATTAATGTAGAGAAAAACGCTCACAGATCACAATCGGTGATTACATTGTTGCCTTAGAAAATAACCTGTGCTCACTTTTGTGAAAAAACATTGTCAAATGTGAAAGTTTTCCATACCAGAACTTGATTCCGATCATTCAGTTTGTATGGCAGCTATATGTTATAGTGGCCCGATATCGGCAGTTCCGACAGATTCTTGAAGAAAAAATGACGCTTGCAAAATTTCAAAACGATATAAAAACTGAGGGACCAGACAGACAGACAGATAATATAAAGTTCGGTTACTTTTGGAAACACCTTGTATTTGCAGCCTTTTTGCGTGTATGTATTTTATCATAATGTAATTTATTACTCATTAACTTAAACTTTAAGGCTTTTCAATTCATTTTCAAAATTTATGGTAAACACAAACAAACTTTACATGGAATATTTGAAATTATATTTGAACTTATAATGTACATATATTTACATATAACTTAAAGCTAACTATAAAAATGTGCAGATAGTTAAAACTGACAGTGATTTTTTTTATTCTATGGTATTCAATGACTTTTAATATAATATTTTAACAACATATGCTTTTTGAGACTCGTGGAAACCCCTTACTCAATTTTCATAAAATCATAAGTGTACGTACTTATTCGAAGATATAATACATACATACATATGTTTTTTAATGACAAGCGACAAATGAATAAATCCAACTGAATGTCATCATATAATGAAGCTATAGTAGTTGCTGAATCTGTGACAGAAAACTTAACGCAAAAGTCGAAAAATACATCTCTGAATATTTTTGAAACTTAATCTAAGGTTCCTTTCACGATTTTGTCAAACAACAATTTTTGTGATACTAAGGTTTTCAACTCAGTGTCAGTGGGGTTTGGCGGTTGAAGTTAAACATTACTGCGTTTATTTAAGAAAAATATCAATAAACAAGTAAGGAAGGGCTAAGTTCGGGTGTCACCGAACATTTTATACTCTCGCATGATACAAGTGATAATCGAGATTTCAGGCGTGGTTGTAAACCGATTTCACCCATATTTGGTACATGTCGTCACGGTGTTAAGAAAATATTATATACCGAATTTCATTGAAATCGGTTGAGTACTTCCTGAGATATGGTTTTTGGTCCATAAGTGGGCGACGCCACGCCTATTTTCAATTAAAAAAAAAAACCTGGATGCAGCTTCCTTCTGACATTTCTTCCGTAAAATTTAGTGTTTCTGACGTTTTATGTTAGTCGGTTAACGCACTTTTAGTGATTTTCAACATAACCTTTGTATGGGAGGTGGGCGTGGTTATTGTCCGACTTCTTCCATTTTTGAACTGTATATGGACTGTCTCTTATACACATCTAGATGTGTATAAGAGACAGGCTATAGTAGTTTTCGAGATATGTACAAAAAAGTTAGTAGGGGCCGGGGCCACGCCCACTTTTCCAAAAAAATTACGTCCAAATATGCCCCTCCCTAGTGCGATCCTTTGTGCCAAATTTCATCTTAATATCTTTATTTACGGCTTAGTTATGACATTTTATAGGTTTTCGGTTTCCGCCATTTTGTGGGGGTGGCAGTGGGCCGATTTTGCCCATCTTCGAACTTAAGCTTCTAATGGAGCCAAGAAATACGTGTACCAAGTTTCATCATGATATCTCAATTTTTACTCAAGTTACAGCTTGCACGGACGGACGGACGGACGGACAGACGGACAGACGGACGGACGGACAGACAGACATCCGGATTTCAACTCTACTCGTCACCCTGATCACTTTGGTATATATAACATTATATCTGACTCTTTTAGTTTTAGGACTTACAAACAACCGTTATGTGAACAAAACTATAATACTCTCTTTAGCAACTTTGTTGCGAGAGTATAAAAATTGAATATGAGTAAAAAAAACTATTTTATTTATAATTTTAAATAATTTTAATCAGTTATTTTGTACATGTACATAGAATGGTGAAAAATCTGGTGAGTTCATGTAGTGAAATCTCGGAGCTGGATGAGACAAGCTTCAATTTGATTTAAGTAAAACTAACTTATGAATCTGTAACAAATATTATTTAGAAGCAATTAATTTGTCCATAAAACTTAGTTCTCTTGCTGTTAGGAAGTTCCAATGGATTTGAGGATTTACGATGACAAAAATCGTAACATAAATCAAAACTAATTTATTTACATTTTCGTGAGCAATAATGAATTGTTTTCATTTTTGGTTTAAAATTGTTAATCTGTTTAATTGTCTGTCAATTCTAAATTTTTTATGTTGGCAACACCAATAAAACTTCGACTTGCTTTTTACACGGTCCAAATGCATGTCGAACGAGTGTTTTAGTTCGTTGGCCGCATTTTAAATGGCCCCTACGTCTGCAGAACGCTTTCCTTTCTTGGGCAAATACATTTTACCGAAAAGGAAGAAGTCGCACGGTGCCATATTAGAAAGAGTGGTTAATGGTTAAAATGTGATTTTTGGTCAAATAATCGTCCTTCGAATGTTGGATTCTGAGCAATTTTTAGACGTCAGTCAATTTGTCCGGAACAAACCGTGCAGAAAACGAAAAAAAGGGCGAAGAATCATTAAAAAGCCGAAATCTATATACACAGATATATAGTTTAAGAATGCGTTAAAATATAAAAATCATAATGTTCAAATATACTTATATATATAATTTTATGCATCCATAATTAGTCAGAAAAACATCAGATGTATATAACTTAATTATAGAACGATTTTCTAATGACAAAAGGACACTCGTGTAATTTTTGTTGCTTGTGGTTTATGTATACTAATTAAAACGTAATAATACACACATGTTATTCAACTGTCGGGGAAAAGTATCGCATCATATTCTTTATTGCCGCTAACTGCATGGAAAATAGGCTCTTTCTACCTTTCAAACACATACATATGTACTTATGATTAATCCAAGCTAGGAAATATTATTAGCCAATGAAAAAAAGTGTATCTGTATAAGAAACTAGTCATTGTTGAAACAATTGTTTAAAGTTGGCTTCATCCTGAAAAAAATTGCAAAAACAATTTCTTGATAGTATTTTTTAAATTAACTTTAAATTAAGGAAAATAAACCACATTAACTATTATACATATGTATCATATACCAGTAAAATGACAATTAATGATGAATAATGTCAAATTTATAATTTAAGAAAATAAAAATACTGTMCATATTGATAATTACGTTGCGAGTTAGGTACATTTGGAATGAGAATACGTACTATATTCTTTTGTATGATCTGTTGCTGTATCGGTGAAGCAATCGGTTTTATTCCGTCTAACAATTTAATTTACTGTCTTGGTAAATTTTGTTACATCTCATACACTTCTAAGCTATTATATAACTATTTAACATGCTTAAACAAATAGAGAGCATATGTGTAATTTTACCTATTCCAGAGAGTTATGAACTGTATAATAGAAAAAATAAGCAACTTCTGATTATAAAATCGGACAAATGAATTTATTAATCGGTAATAATATGTGAAAATTAAAGAACAAAAACAAGCATATTAAAACAAATTAATGTGTTATTTACGCAAATATATATTGGTTGTACCAAGCAAATTTAAGTCCTCTCTTAAGGATAGTTGTATGTATATGCTTACTTAGCATACAATAATTATCGTTACTTTTTAGTTAATAATTTTCTCTAACTTTATTAGTTCATAGTTTTTAGCAATTTAGAATTTTATTCTTTCATAATCTATCTTGAAACAATATCTTTCCCCTTTTTTTTGCTTTTTTGTTCTTTTTTTTCAATTTTTGGTTCATTATTATTTAGTGTTTTATATTATTTTTATTTACAATATGTCTTATAAGTAACTTTACAAATACCCAAATTTACCTAATACTTTTATTCGATTACAAAAAAACGGTTTCGCTTTTAGTTGGAAACCCAAGGGAAGTAACTACCCAAAATATACAATACACATAATACAAAAAAATGCGATAGATATTATTATCATTATAAAACTCACTTTAGTCAAGTTTAGTTCGGATTGTTTGAGCTTACTTTGCCCTCTTTCTCGGTAACATGGGTAGGACCAGTAAAAGGCATTAAATCGAAACGCACTCACCTGATGTCTGGTTCAAATATTGGTCTGTTAAACAGTATACAAGTATGTACATCGTTAAAGTGTTTCATCGACTTAAAAATAGTAGTATTATAAAATAAATTTCGTAAGTTGACCTCTCCGTTATGGCTATTGTTATCTGATTTCGACTTTTGGAGGCGTATATTTTGTTTAAGTTGTATATCATTGAAGTAGCAGCCGCAGGTATTAATCATTCCAGACTTTCTTCGTTTAACTTGCTTTCCAAGCACATCGGTTGCCAGCAACACGAATACATTTAAAACCCACGCAACAAGATGCTTCAAATTCCTGCTATCTTGATCCCAACTGCTGCCAATGTTTGCATATACCACTTTATATATGCTAAGGTGCATAAGTACATTGACAGGTACACTAGGAGATATCGACTTTGGGACATTCGAAGATATACTGGTCCCGCGCGCTGCATTGCTGCTGGGAACTCCCCTGGAAACGGAATGAGAAACACCTATTTAATTTACAACTTTTTTCTGTCCTTTAACACCATTACAAAATTTAGGTAATTACAAGCAAATAAGTATATACATATATGATAAGCTGTCAAAATGAGTTAACAATACTATCTTTAAATAAATAAACGAACCGCTGTAATAGTCATTCAAAATATTGAGGAAATTAGAACACTGCACAGCTGTACAATGTGCTGTTATACACTTTGCGAACTGAAACTTATAAGTAGTATGTTCAACCCATACGCAACGATGTCCTAAAGTATAAAGCCACATTCCACTAAACAACACTTGCTAGAATAAATAATTTTTGGAGTACTTGGTAACTTACAACCATCATGTATGCACGTGGAAAAGGGTAAAACTTTATGTAATATTTTATTACTTGTAGTGAATATATGCATGGTTCACTCTTACAAGTTCAAGAATTAAAAAAATTACAATTTAATTCTGAATTAATTACTATTATTAAAGTACGTTTCAATTAATGCACATCTATATTTATACTTACCATTCAGTACATGAACCGTTACACTTTTAGGTTTTGCATTTGATGGGTTGCACTGATAGTGTCCGGAATCTGAAGGCCGAGCAGATTTTATAAGAAGAAAAGAAGTAGTAGTTTCACCTTTATTTGTTACTACCGAGACACCACCGCGAGGAGAGTCGTAGTTGATAATCTAAAATCAATAATTGTAATATGTATAGTAAATTACATAATATATATCTGTGTTTAAAATTGCAATGAAAGATCGGGTATTCAAGTTTTTCAGAAATTCTCTTGTGGATTGCAAAAAAAGGCAACGAAGCGAAGTGTCACAATCAGTGTTTTTTATTATTCTTTAAGTAAAACTTTTGAAATACTCAAGGAGCACAAATTCCGTTTTAAAAATAATGATGTTAATCGCTAATACTTTACTACTAGCTAATGTAGAAAAGACAATTATTGATACAACTTCATYGAATTGCATAATCAACCTGATGCACAGGTACTAGTTTAGTAGTGAACGGTTAAATTTTTGGACTGACATTACACAATTTTTGAACAGGATCGCATTATGTTTATCGAATTATTAATATGTACTTATATTATACTTAGCTTACACTTAGTGAGAAAAATGAGTGGACTATACAATACTATTATAAATAAAATATTCTTCTCATGCACATCGTACACATAAATAGATAGTCTTCATTTGTAATTTTTATTAATTGACGAACACTACGTTAGCAATGTGTTAATTTATTTATTAATATTTCGACAGTTTATTTTGTACAAATACATATATATATGCCACGCATTTTGTACGAATATAGTATACAATTACTTACAGCGTTATTATGATTCCAAAATATGTACGCAGGAGGTTCGGGAGAATTTAATATTACACAAGTTAAATTTATTGTTGAACCGCTCTCTATATAAAGATCCGGCGCGCCAATGATTTCGGTAGAAGGTTCTAAAATGAAAATTTGTAAGAGCATTTCTTATAAAAAGCTAAACATAATGTATAAATTGTACTCAACTTGCAAATCATATAACGATCTTTAAATACTTCCGTACTTACAATACTTTTATAAATATTTTTATGCATGTCGATATGTACGATTACATTATATTTACATGTGTATTAGTCTTTTACTCACCGACAACATTCAAGTGAATATAATGGCTCATATGTGGCGTGGTTGAAACTTGGCACTCATATATACCAGAATCTCGATGTTGGGGATACTTAATTTGCAAAATCCAGTCTTCAGTTTGTGGCTGATGAATAGCACGAAAGCGCTGATCGGATGTATATGTATACCGTCCAACAGTTAACAGATGGATGTCTCGATGCCGCACCCAAGAAACTTGCAAGAGCATCTGAAAAAACATTTTTGTTTGAAGTCGCAGTAACGTTAACTAGAAAAATTATCACCTAATTACTTATCAAATTAATTTTAATTTTTTAATTTACTATTTGAATGTATTTTGGTTAAAATTTTGACAATCGTTTTTATCGATAGTCATACAATTCATAAAAAGAATTAAATAACATATAACAGAGGTGTAAAACGCAATTATTTGAGTATGCACGTGTATGATTTATCTATTTCTACACTTSTTATTCAATCTTGAATAAAACTATTTATTGTCGAAAATGTTTTTAGTCAACGGCAGCCAAGATCAATGGGAAATCGTTTTCTGCAGCTCTTTATTTTATTTTTTTAATTTCTTTTTATATGTACTCTCGCAACATGCTTCTACAAAGCATACTCGTAATAGATATAAATGTATATAGTATTGTTCACCTTATGGTTATTTGTAACACTTAAAACTAGATATAGAGTTATACGTATTTTCCTGATATTAATGTGTCCGGGTGCTAAGAAGTATAAAATCGGGTCAATGCTTTCTATAGCCCCCATATACTTAATAAAAATATTTCAAAGTTCAGGTAGATTTCATACCATTTAGCACTTATGTAGGTCAATATGTAAATTATCTTAATGAAACTCTTACATCATCTGTTTTGGTAATAWAAATACAAATTTTTGCAATGGATTTGCTGTTTTATAAATAAAAAAAATAACTACTGTTGAACTTGCCAAAATCGAATCACCGTAATCCATAAAAAAACGTTGAGTAAGTGGGACTTCGAGTTATAGAAACTTGCCTGAACTCATACATATAGTATTTTTTACTTGTTTGTTTCGGTGAAAAGAGATTGTAATCTGTATAGTACTTTGTGATACTMGTCAGTGGTATTAATATTTGTTATTAAAAATGAATTTAAAATCGCATAGTTCAATTCAAGAGTTCGAGTTATGGAGAACTTCGAGTTAAGGAAGATCGATTTACGGAAGTTCAACTGTATTTACGGTAAACAAGTGTAAATTATTCAAAAGTTATCTCGATAGTGCACAATGGGTAAAAATGATGTCAWGAACTTTCATTTTCCATTTCTGGTAAAGAGTAGGCGTTAGAYTGAATAAATAATTTAATGCAAGCATTGATCACAACCACGAAACTCACCGTTTTATTTCCTAGATTTTTCACACGACAATTTAAATATGCCGTTTTTCCGAGGAGTGCTGTTATATTTTTCGATGCAGCTTTGTCAAAGTATGGACCATTGCGATTATCTTCTGTTACTTCAATCACATTACGATTGACGRTGGATGTCCCCGAATAATGTGCGGTACTGTTCTTCTGCACACCTCCATAATATACCGAATTGTTCGCTGTACTAAATACTCCTACAGTTACGAAAGCGGTACTTGAAGTGACGATCGGTGACAATGTGACATAATTGGCCTTATTACGTATATCAGCCGCTGCTAATGAAACAWTGATATCAGGGTTTCCGTTGCTTGCATTGTTTCTAGACCTAATGKTATTGCCATCGCTAATGCTATCAAAGTTTCCATTGGTATCAACTCCGCTTCCCGTAGGTATATTACTACTTAGGTTGTTGGAATTCTTTTGTTTAACTGAGTCCCGTTGCGATGCTAGAACTACAGATTAATTTATTATAAAATAATATAGTATATGCTTCGAAATTTTTTCTTTAAAATTTAATATCAATGTCAAATACTAACTTAGGTATTACGTTTGAGGTTTCTTTTCTTAAATAAAAAATTTTGTTAAAAAGATATATAACTACTAAAAATATAATCCCAAATTTAAAGATCTTTCTCAAATAAATAAATAAAGTTAATTTTCGCTATTTAATCACTTATCACTTGTATATTTTGAATATTTAATTTAATTCAGAACATCATTAAATTTGAAAACGGATATTGTGACTTACCAGTGCTTTCCGATATCAAAACAGTCATTATAACAGCAAACAATAACATAATCGTATGTATTGAATCTGTCATTATGCTGTAATTAACGCCCAATCTCCAGAAAGTCAGTCTATGTTTCGGCGTTAGCCCCTTCGATTTACCAAGAGTGCTAACAGTCATATTTCCCGATTTCCTGGTATCACAATTCCACTTTTGTACCCTCCGGCAATACTTGTAAATAGTACATGTCCCCAATCTTTCATTTAAGGTCAACTGCATGCGATTTTGTCTGCTAAACTCTTTATCATTTAACAATTTACCGAATACTCGCCGTTGAAATTGTTGAATATGTTGAGACCGATGTATCTTTGGGACAATTGGAGAATTTGTAGAGCTCATGGTTTGTTTATATGTATATGGTATGTTCCCCAGGGAGTTAGGTTTGAATACAGATATATTTACGTTTTAAGTTTATTTAATCGCAGTAAGTACTTTAGGGGGGGAGTGACCAATGTGGCTCTTTTGAGTCGAATTGCTGTTAAAACAGCCTCTTAACATTATAAAGTGCATATCTATTTTGAGTAGAACAAATAAGCATACGAAATTAAAATCTTTTGATTTTCTGGATCTCTCAAAATGACCTTTTGTTAGTGTCTATTGCAAAGTGACAATTCACAACCCCTTTCTATTTGACCTCTAAATGTGTTTGTTTTGCTCACAGTAAAGTAGGATTATTGACCATGAAATAATCTGCAAGTCATTGTGATATTTGGTATTCCACCATCTTGTATCATTATTATTCGTAGTAAAAGCTTGATTGTCATTTAAATCTGAAACTGAGGTAAAAAAAAAATTGTGTATGATTTACAATAATAATTAAATCACGTTATTTTGTATTTTGCAATAAAATTCATTTTTTCCCATAGGGCTATTTTAATTAGTTTGGTATGAATATTAATATAATCTTGAACTGGATTCGTAATTATAAAGGCCCATGCACATACAACTTTCCTCGCTTTGCGTGACATTTCATATTGAAACAAAGAAGCGGAGAAAACAAACGGTATACCGCAATGAACGCTTCGTTTTCAGTGTTTCTCTGTAACAAAAATGAGCAGTAGTTCTTCGCAAAGTGTAAAAAGATGAGAGCTGCCAAATAATATGCTTCGCTTCGCGTCGAAAACTTTTTACGTGAACGTCCACATACAAAAGCGTGCATCGAACTATCCTGTCAAAACAAATGTCATCAAGCAAGGCGAACCAAAAGTTCAATCTGAATTGGCCATAAAGCGCTGATGATAAACTACAATGAAAGAAGAAAATATTCAACAAAAGATCCACCCTAACAATTTGACTGGAGAAGTAGTTTTTGTTTCTTAGTAAGAACTACCTGAATACGTGCACCAATAATAAATTAATTCCTTTTTATCAAGGCGGCCTTCACGGTAATGCAAAAAAGAGGTTCATACATACTTGCATGGAATGTAGTTTCACAGGAATAAATAATTTCGTTGATATTGCAAACCGTTTTTGTTTTATTTAAAAAGAACGTACAAATTTTGGAATATGTACCATAAGAAGGCAATCTTATTACTGATTGCTTTTGAAAAATAGTCCTAACTCATCTTGAAACATGTTTGAGAGCATACTTGTTCGTGGGATTTGCTACACGTTCCATATATGTATGTATGTAGATATCGGTACTAACCACAAAAAGGGTCTTAACTCATAAAATGGCAATGTTCAGGAGGAGCAGTTCATGTAAAAAATATTAATTCGTTGTCCATAATGCTTTAACATAGAAATTAAGAGACATTTTTGTTAGCACCTCGAATAACAGTGTGATAATCGTAATTATTTCATCAGAAGGGTTATAGTATTTCAAATATAATTATCCACAAGAGACACAACTTCGTAAAGTACAGCAGAAAATTTACGATTTATTTTAGCAATAGCTACACAAACAGAAATAGTACTGTTTAGCCAATAYTGCACAAGCGTGGCCAAAGGCGCAATTAACACAAAAATAGATCTAACGGTGATTTTCCAGCTAAGTAACAATGAAATTTTCACAATGGTTGCTAGTATATTTTGCTCCTATTCTTTTTTATTTAATTTTTTTTCTTTAAAATCTTGGAAACTTTTTCAATTTTGTTTCGGCATTAGAAACTAAACAAATATTAAAGCAAAGCTACGATTTTTTGTTTCGATGCTTTCTTTGAATTGTTTCTTTCGGCATTTAAAACTAAACAAATAACACAGAAAACTATTTTTATACCCTGAGCAGGGTATATTAAGTTTGTCACGAAATTTGTAACACYCAGAAGGAAGAGTCGGAGACCATATTAAGTATACATAAGTATATACATACATACATGTATGTAAATTATCAGTATGTCGAGCTGAGTCGATTTAGCCATGTCCGTCTGTCTGTATATATACGAGCTAGTTCCTCAGTATTTAAGATACCCGTTTGAAATTTTGCAAACGTCATACGTCATTTTCTTCTCAAGAAGCTGCTCAAATTTCACAATGTATTTTCACAAAAGATGGCACAGGTTATTTTCTAAAGCAGCAATGTAATATCCGAAGATATTGTTTAGATCGCTTAACTATAGCATATAGCTGCCATACAATCTGAATGATCGGAATCAAGTTCTTGTATGGAAAACTTCACATATGACAAGGTATATTCACGAAATTTGGCATGGATTACTGTTTAAGGTAATAATATAATCTCCGAAGAAATTTTTCAGATTGGATTACTATAGCATATAGCTTCCATACAAACCGAACACATAATTATTAACAGAAATGCACCTGTGAAGGGTATTTACCTTCGGCAACCGAAGTCAACGTTTTTTCTTGTTTAATGTAAGTATTATTACTAATGTGATAGTTATTGAACGTGTAACATTCACGCGCGATCTATCAATCATCGTTATAGATTTCGATTCAAATATCACAATATTCAACATGTGACAAGGCGCCTATGAGAATTTTTCATTATCAAAGATTTAAATGCAATTAAATTCATGATACACATGTACATAAGCAAACAAGAAAGTATGTAATGTTTAAATTAGGTATTAATATATACAATGTGTTCATCTGTTTTGTTCAACAAATCGGCAGTTCCGACAAATGAGGAAATGATGATGATTTTCAAAAATTCAAAACGATATCTTAAAAACTGAAAGACAAGTTCGTATATATACAGACAGACGGACAGAAAGACAGACGGACATGGCTAAATCAAATCAGTTCAACATACTAATAATTTATACATGTATATATACTTTATAGGTTCCTTCTGGGCGTTACAACCGTAGTGACAAGCTTAATATACCCTGTTAAGGCTATAAAAATAAACCTGGCTAAGCTTCATACCTATAAATATACATACATGTGTTTGTGTGCATGTACGTATAGTTTAGGTGCGCTGTGCACATATATATGTATGACGTACCTTAAAAAAGTTTTAATAAATAAATATCCAAATAATATAATAAATATCCATATAGTTACATGAAATTAAAAAAAAGTTTATGATCAACAAATTCGAAATTTAGATGTTATTGATCACGATTCGCTATATCATATTACATATTTATATGTATGTAAAAAGTTTTAAACTTATCTAATGAAACCAAAATGGTTATAATTAAAAACAAAAACTCTTCAATTGCACTGTTTTTGTTTGTTAATTTTTTATTTTTATTTTATTTTCTCGTAAACACGTGAAAAATGATGAGATGTTACGTTATTTTACATTTTTGGTGAGGTTATACATTTACATACTACATATCCATGATTTACTAATGGATTAAAGAGATCACACATTTTTTACCTTAATATGTGTACTAAGTCATAAATTAATGACTAACTTAAACTATATTATTTTCATTCACTTCAAACTTTCAACAAATATGCGTAAATGCATTTAATACATTTAAAAAATTAAGACGCAACGCAACTGATTTCTCTGTTTCACTTTTTATCCTCTTTCAGGTAGAATGAAAAAGACATTATTATATGAATTTGAATTTAATTCAAAAAAAAATCTTTTACCCACGGTAATTGTTAAATATATCTGATGCGTATTTTTATTTTGGTATCCGAAGTATTTTTTTATATTATCTATGTACGGATAAGTAAAATTTTCTTCTGTACTCGCTGAATCACCACGGAGAGACAGAAATACGAAAACGAATGAACCGTCCTTGACTCATGTAAATATCTCGGCACTTAGCACAACCACTTCACAATTTTATTCTCCTTCGCATGTGGTGGAGAGGACTGGATACGGGGTGTGGCGGAAGCTTTAACTAGTACCAACTGAAAATGGAGGCATAAAGCACAATTTCACATTTGCATGCTGAATTATTTATTAACTTTCTTACTTATACAGTTTTTGGATTAGTCGCACTTTTTCATTTCCTTACAAATATTCAAAATATTTAGCTGTACATCCAACCGTTCAAAAGTAATTTATTATTATTCGAAACCGATCACGAAATCTTTCCCCTTATTTTCAAATATATATATGTATAAGCGCATTTAGGGTTTGTAATGCACAGATATATTTTATTGGAGATACTTATAATACGGATAGTAATTTTCATTTCGTGAAAAATAGAGTGAATAAAGCAAACACCACGTCACAAACACTTACACTAAACATTATGGCAACAATTATAATATTACTCCATAAATATTAATTCCGAAACCGCCGTTTTGGTCGTTTTCCTCGGTTGAACGTCTTTACAACTCGATTGCATAGAGAGCACTGTCGAAAGGGATGAAAAAAGTGCCGACTTTGGGGCTCACAGAAGCGAATTTGCCAAAGCCGATGCGTCCATATGTATTATCGAGCAGTTTCGTGTTGTAGAAAATTGAGAACTGAGAGAGCTTAACCCCCATAAATATGTACATTCCAGTTAAAACTAAAAAATTCCAAAAGAGATTACGTGAGTCTTGTAATCCTTGAGAGATTTCCTTAGTATAACTGCAAATATATGCTGCAATGAGAGCTTTAAAAAGCTTTTACACTTCGTAATAGTCGCAGATACTAAATAGGTATCTTATTCGCTATCACTTACGTTTGCAGTAAATGCTTCTGACGTATTTTTCACTGAAAATTTTACATTTAAGAATCATCAACACTTTCTCCATACCATTGTACTTAGAATAACGTCAAATATATATGTTCAGTTATTGTATACACAAAGCTTTTATGAAATAAACTAAAATGTTTTTGAAATGTTACAAATAAATTCGACATTAAATTGCTACATGTAAATGTACAATATGTATTATCTTAATACAGTAATATGCGAAACTTAGGGTATAAACGGTGACCGACAAAAGTTTAAACACGACTCACAAAAAACTAATTATTCAGGTTGCTACAACTTTCTTTTAATTTTGGAAAGACCGAAATATAACAAAAAATAATAAACTGCTGGAAGCTTTCTTAAGGGTTGTCGCGCTAAAACCCTCATCTGTCGTTACGCTCTAAAAGCTTTCAGGTGTGCTCAATAAAATTCAAATTCCRACTTTGCAGTGAAGTTTTTAATTCCGCGGTGCATTTTAAAGCAATAACTATTGCAATGTGAGCCGTGCGTTTGGGGTCGTTGTCCTATTGTAATATGTAGCTTTCACCAATCGTTACTTTACGAACACTATCTTTAAATTATTTTCAAAAGTATTCCAAATTGCTCCTGCTACTTCAGACGCAACAAATTTGTAGTATTTATTTTATCATTATGCACACAGTATAACGGGTGAACCAGCAGAGGTACTTTTTTCAATAGTATTTTTTAACAGATCACTCTTAAGTTTTGTCAAACTTTTATGTTATTTTTGCTGAGTAATGTTTGGCATTTCATCATGGAAAGTCTGAACAACTTTAACAAATCGTTCAACTTTATTACGAAAATTCATGTTCTTTGAAATTTGCATTTCGGGCRCTTCGCTCAAGTTATGGTCAACATAATCAGCCTACTGAACGTACTATTCGCACCAACATCACCCATCTTGAGACCCAGCATTCATTGTTGGATAATATTAGATTGAATATACCCGGTCCAGCACACAGTGAAGAAAATATAGCAGTCATAGCTGAGAGTGTATACGAAGACCAAGGAGAGTCGGCGCAGTTCGCAGCAACTTGGACTGACGTATGGAATGACTTRGCGCATTTTACGTATAGGTCTTAAATTAAAAGCGTACAAAATACAGCTTGTGCAAGAAATGAAGACGCTCGACCTTCCCCAGCGGATGGATTTATTGAGAGAAGACTTCGGTGAGCCACCAAGATAGTGTGATATCACACCATTAGACTTTTTCCAGTGGGGGTATGTAAAGTCTAAAGTCTATGCGGGCAATCTCACTTCGATTCGGGTCTTGAAGCAAAACATCACGCTTGGCATTCGCCAGTTACCCGTCATAATGTCGAARATAATCTTCAAAAAATTAGTTCCAAAGAATGCTCTTTCGAATGATAATAAGCATTAAATTTGAAGTTTATGTATTTTTTTTTCTTTCTACGAAATGGATCACCCTTTATACACACTACTTTAAAACAGAATTGTGCATAAAATAGCTGAAATGTTGTTATCTACAACTCTCAAGTTCTATTTCGCGTATATAGACAGACGGACGTGGCTAAATCGACTCAGCTCATCATGCTAATCATTTAGATATCTATTTTATAGGGTCTCAGACGTTTCCATTYGATTGTTACAAACATCGTGACTTAATACGCGGTTCAGAGGCAGCTACATTCATATATGCTATATATATATAAATTTAAAACCGATATTTATAAAACTGAGGAAACGCTAAGTTCGGATGCAAGAGAACATTTTATACTCTTGCAACTTTTAGGAAACAAAGCAAGGGAAATATCTTAAGATGTAAAACGTCAACCTGAGGATCGAAATCCAAGCACTTTTATATACTGTATATAGTACATACTATATATAATTCATATGCTTACAACCACATATTAGTTACATATATGGGAGGTAAGTCAAGTTTTCGCTCAAATTTATTTATTTTAGGGTAAAGATACACTGTTATAAGTAAAACATGCTAGCTCATTTTCATTCAGATTACTCACATATTGACCGATATATGGTRTACAAAGTTACACGGAAGTTCGATTATCTTAATATTAGATATAGAGGGGCTAAGGGAAGTATTGGTCCATTCAACCCATTACAGACATACCATTGTCAGAGAAGTAATGAGTTTCAATTATATATCTCAGACATTGACYGATATTTTCTAACAAAAGTGAACTATAGGTACCGGGGTCTAAATATTCGGTACCTAGGGGCGCGAACAGTTTTTGTTGGATTTGAACGATTTTTGGTCATAAGGTGGCGCAAGCTAAGGGCTTTATTTGTGCAAAGTTTAATCCCGTTATATTAATTGCTTTTTGATTTGCATACTGGAAACTGAACGAATCCAATGAATTTTAAAATTGTGCTATATGGGAAGTAGACGTGGTTATTGTCCGATTTCGCTTATTTTTACATATTTTGTCGAAACCGATAGGTCGGATCCCGAGATATGGGATTTACCCAAAAAGYAGGCGGTGCCACGCCCATCGTCCAATTTTCACACCGGCTCCCATAAAGCGTACCGTTATATGCAGTGAGCGGGGTTTTAATCCGATTTCCTCTATTTTCACACTATCGGTAGGAGTTCTTGTATATTCATGCTTGGCGAATTTGGTTGTTGTAGCTTTAGTTTATAAAATATGCACATTAAACATATTAGAGGGCGAAGCCRCGCCCATTTTTTMAAAATTTTTTATCCACAGATGCCCCTTGCTACTGTTTTACCCTGTGCCAAATTACAGTTTATAAGTTTTCGGTTAGTGTTGAATTGTTGGCGTTGCAGTGGTTTGATTACGCCCATCTACGAATTCGAATTTTATTTTGTACTAAGGAACCTGCATACCTTGTTTTAAGATATCTCAAGTTTTAGTCAAGCTACAGCTGACACGAACGGTCGGTCACCCTGATTATTTACATATATACATACCAAAAAATAAGCTGACATTTGAATTTAAACTGCGCGCGTGGAAGGATTTGGAGAATTATTTTTTTTTAGGTTGGCAATACTGTCAGTCACATTTATGTCAAAATATTCATTAGGGTTTGAGATACGTGTCGTTCTGTGTGCTGCTAAAAGTTGGCGCCGTGCGACTTCTGGCTGTTCACCAACCTCAAAAGACCGCTCCGGGGACACCGTTTTTATACGATATTCAAGCCGCAGCGAAGACGGAACTGAAGGTCATCCCGGAAAGTGACTACAACCAGTGTTTCTAAGATTGGAAAATCCGTCGGCATAATGTACTACATCTAGTGGGGGCTACTTTGCAGGGGATGAAATTGATTTGGAAGAATAAATAAAAAATTTTCAAAATAAATACAATGTCACCTTATTTTTTTGGGCACAGGTATACAACCCTATATATCTCAATTAGTTTTAGGTGATACGTACAACCGTTAGGGGAACAAAACTATAATACTCTTTAACAACTGGTTGCAAGAGTATAAAAACTGAGTGACTAGTAAAAAATATTTTTTTTTTTTGAAAATTCTGACTTCCCCTCACCCCTTACACTCGTAGAGAAAAATGTCGAACCTGAACAAGGCAATACATAATTTCTAAGTAGAATTAAAATTAAGGATATGTTTTGAACATCCCATTCCTAAGTGATTCACTTTTTAAATAAGAAATAAATTTTAGAAGCGTTTTATACTTCTTCAGTCAAGCGTACAAATATAGAACGTAATATTTAAAACAGTTGGATGTTATAGTTTATCGTAGGTTCCGCATAATTTCAATATAGAAGATTCGGCCGTTCCTTACAGAGGCTTATAGAAATGTTCCAACATATACATATATGTATATCAGCCAATATTTAAGATACAATAGGTGATTAAGTATTGTGTAAATTTTAATACCAAAATGTATGAAATTGGTCCACCAATTGCCCCAGTTGCTATTTGCTCAATATAATAATTTTCGTTACTTGAGTCATTGTCTAATATATTATAAGTAAGTGATTTCTTCATAAAATTACGTGAAAGCATGTTTTCGAGTCTATTTGAGAATTACAAAAAGTTAATACCAGAAGTGATGTCAATATACATAATATAGTAATTTCCGAATTTCCACCTGACGGTAAATTTTTATGCTAGTAAAAATGTAAATTTTATTGAAATTTAATTAAAGCCTATCTAGTTTTTTGTATAAAAATGTGTTTTAGCATTTAGGTCTAAGCCTCATATCCAAAATGATTTCCAATTCTCTTGTTAACTTTGTCTTCAAATACCCATAACACATATGTATAGTATACATACATATAATATATCATTTGAGTTAATTTGGTAGATTTTAATACAAAACAAGACAAAATGATAACTTCCGAAATTTTAAATACTTTTCACAAATACAAACGAATCCTTACAAGAACTTAACAAGTACGGCTATTACATATAATAATTATAAGTTAATAATATACCAAATATGAAAAGCATTAAAAAAAGGTTTTTTCAACACCTGAAAAATTTGCTCTTGCAAACGAAATTGGTTCAACATGTGCTGTACTTTAATTACCATATATTTTTTTCTTCAGTAGTTTAGGAGTTTACCCGGAGAAGACGTAGCACGTAATTTTTATAAATATAAAATAGAATATTCTGGTTGACTATATATCATTTAGTAATCGATCGGTAGGTCGGTTTGGTGCTAAAATTTATCAAATATTTATTATAATGGTCCATGAATTGTCCAATATATGTCACATAGTTTATACATACTATGTATGTACATATATCAAAAAGATCAGAATGTCCAGAGGAGTTGAATACCGACTATACCTTTACCTTTACTTTAGTATAATTAATATAACCTTTACATTTAATTTACCAGATTTTTAGGACAAACATATTATTCGCGTTTCCACACATGTATGGATGTATATTAAGTTTTGAATGCAATATGTTTTTACATAACTGAACAGTTTAATTTTTCATTATCTATACATGTACGTAACAATATATGTATGTATATATGTATGTATTAAACACTTGCAAAATTCTAACACCAAAAAWAAAAATCCAAAAGAATTACTCTTTTCTGCATTACTAAGACGGGTTTTCTTGCTCCTGAAAAAACTTGTATTCATATATGTATATACGTCCGTATGTATGTATACATACAGCTTTTACAAAACAAAAACAAAAATATTTTCTTTTGAATTCGTCATTTCACAAATGCGCCATTTTCTTACTTCAATGGTTTACATTTGTACATGATATTAATTTTTTTCAAATCCCCTTCTGAGGGACCGACTATTTGTCCCATTTTACGATCTATTACTGTATTGCCACTTCTTGCACGTATCGATGGTTTTGTACGGTCCTTTGAAAAAGCAAACTCCGAGTAATGCATCAGGCTTTCATAGTCGTACAATACATTGTAAGTACTAGTGTATATTTCGGGGTAGGCGATAAACTGTGACCAATACTTTTGAGGAATATTGGAATATTCAATTTTCACGTATTTATTGCGATCTGGACGACTCTGTTCATGGTAGAGTCCAAGAGCATGCAAGGTTTCATGTTGTATAACACCACGTTCACTTAAACAGTAGGAATTTAGGATCACGTCGTGAGGTCCCGTTGGAGTTAGAGGGTTAAATCCGACTCTTGTACCACACAAGTCCAAAGATTTCTTATAATTAATGTATTTTAAATTTCCATTTTGACGAACATCATACTCTCTAAATCTTAGACATGTACTTTCATTAAATACCAGTAAGGCTGCATGGACATTATCAACTTCCTCCTTGCTGTAATCTGTGGAGATAGTGTAGTGTAGCAAATTGCTTGGCCAGCGTTGTAACGGCGAATTCACAGCGTTACGGGTCTTATCTTCGGCCGCTTCGTCATCAACATGGATTTCATTTAAGTAATTTTCAAAATCTTCAATGTTGACTTTTCCTGAAGTGTTTGGTTTTGCAAAAGTTAATTGTACAACTAGTAACAAAATAAGCCAGCTAACGAAAAAATAGAAACTATTTCGATTCATGATAGTGAATTGGATACAGTACTGAACTCACTTTACATTTGGATTTTCTTTTATATAGTACCTGGATCGTCTACAAATGTATGCAATATGTACAATTCATTTACATATCGCAAAGCCTATTTAATATGCTAATGGCCAAAGATAGATCACTACGTTACCTGCAGTTTTTTACAAGACGACGCCATTTGCAATCACATTGACTATATACATTGAGACCTGGCTAAAATTATGCAAAAGAAATTGCTGAACACTATTTGTTTGAATATTTTTTCGTTTATACGAGATTATAATTTGATGTTGTTGTTGTTGTAACGGCAGAATTCTGCCGAGTTGACAGTCCTTGGCCGAATAAAAATCCGGGTCCGTCCCGTTTTCGTAGACCCGACCGTCGTGGGAACGGGACGATTCTGCTTTGATCGTTTCTTTTGAAGTTCGAATAAGTTCGAATAAGTTCAGAGATGAACACATCTAACTGGAGAATGCAACTATACATTGAAAACAGAACTTTGCAAATTATGAAGTTTATTTTGTTATACTTATTTGCCTAGTCGTTTGATTTCTCTTCTTTCTATGAATGTATTTATATGACTGTATTATATACTTAGCCTAGACACACAAATCGTTAAGTAAACCATAAGAGTTTTACATTTTTGCCTTTTCGACATCTTTTACTCAAACACTTTCATATAAAACTTAATATGTTTATCAATACCTCTAATTTGTAACTTGCACAGAGTTTTCTGTTTGTCACAAAATGATCCTACAATGGTTTGTTCCTTTCCGAATGAATGATTTAAAAGCAAATTAACATTGAACCCTCTAAAATCTACTGCATTTCGTTACATTATATTTATCAGTGCAAATATTAAAAAAATAAAATAAAAAATAAACATGAACGTTAGTAGAAATTAACTTAAATGTTTCCTTATATGTCACTCGATAAGCAATATACATGTAAAATAAGAATGAATCAAATTTGAAAAAACGATCACAAATTATTTATAACCTCGATCATTTGTCACTTGGTTAATGGTCATCCACACTATAAGTGTTCAATATACCATTACTCATCGCGGTATTGACACTCTACAGCAATTAATGAATTTCAATAAAAGTATAAAGCGATGGAGGCACAATGTTCATATATTTAATTCGATGTTTTTGTACGGTTCGTGCAGCCAAACAAGCCAGAGTGGTATATTTCAATGGATTGACGACTTCATGTATTTTCCTGGGTTTCAATAATGATTCGAAGGTTTCACCGGCATCATTTTTGGCATCCTATTTTAAAGAATATAATTAGCACACTTCAATAATAAATAGTTTAAACTTACCAGATGCGCGCCATGTTTTAAAAGAACTTTTGAAAGCGTTCGAGGACATTGTTGCGCTGTTGCAGCCAAATGCAAAGGAGAGTTTCCTGCATCATCCCTAGCATTTGGGTCAGCTCCAACTTCGAGTAGAGCTTTAGCTAGTGCTGGGGAAGGAAACTGACAAGCTGGATAACGACCGACAAGTGTTCCTTCTCGGTAACAAGCGTAGTGTAGAGCTGTTCGTCCCGATCGAACAGACACTTTAAGCCGATTCAACTTGTACAAAGAATATAAAATCTGTTTGCGCATATTTGGGCAGAAACTTTCATCTTCTTCAAGGGAAGCCAATAAACAACCAATATGTAAAGCGCTTACTAAGGCGCGACTCAGCGCGTTTGGATCGTGATTACAATCATGTATTGATGGTACTATGGCCGGATTTTTTTCCTGTTCTATAGTCCATTTAAGGCCTACAAAGGCAAAACTAACTGTTTCACCCAAAACAAGACGAATGTATTAAACTTGTTTTTATTACCTCTCTCCACTTCTAGAACAGCCTTATTAAATATCAGCAACATATCTCTGGCTTCAATTGGAGGAACAATGCGACCGCGAGGCAATAAACGACCAGCCTCAACAAGCATAAAACTAAACAGTTCCGCAAATGATAACAAAGATGATTGGGTCATTGGGCTGAGAGGTTGTAAAATTTTCTGCTGCATCGTCAAAGCATACGTCCATAACTCAATACAACGATCAAAACGTCCAGCATCTGCATAATGCGCTCCTCTAAAAAAAAAAAAGACTGAATAATCTGATTTTAAATGGTTATTTGTAGTTACCTGAAACGTATGTAATAGCTTGTATCAGGATGTGTAGGACCTAAAATTCGCTGTCGTATAACTAAAGCTTGCATTCGCATTTCGTCGGGATCTAGAACTAACTCTTCGAGTCCTTCTATTGTTTTCACTTCCGATACATATTCATAAGCTGCAATTGGTTCGCTGATAGTTTTTGGTATTTTAGGTTCCTGATTTCGATCCTCCATTGCTCTTCGCCACAAGGACAAAGCACTGATCATGTCACGTTTTTTATCTACGTATGTTGCACCCAAGAGTTCTAAAGCATCGATGCGACTTTTTCTACTAACGCAGGCCAAGGTAATAAGATGTTCTACAATTGGCAAATGCCCCGTCACACTCGCGGCCAAAAGCGGCGTCATACCGTAATAGTCGACATCCATTGTTGCGCCATGTTTTAACAACAATTGCAAAATCTCGAGTGAACCAGATTCTGCGCAGTCATGCAAAGCTGTATTTCCTTTTATACTACACCGATTCACATCTGCATTTAAAGTTAATAGATACTGAGCGATCTTGTAATGACCTTTGTAGCATGCGATCATTAAGCATGTATGTCCATGTCGATTTGCCACTTCAAAATCTACAAAATTGAACCACTTAAAATAATATTTTTTTATTAAACATTAATATATAGCACACCTGCACCATTGGTCACCAGAAACTTGACTATATCAAAATGTCCATCAAAACAAGCAGCGCGGAGTGGTGTAGAGTTAGTGCGGGTGGTACTATTTACATTTGCCCCGTGATGAACAAGGAGCTTTACAATACCATAATGACCAGCTGCTGCGGCGCACCATAGCGGTGGCGCATCCTCAATGGGCTCACCATCAAAACTCACGGAACCTACTTGCTCAACATTGGCGTGTCGTTTTAGCAAATATTCTACAATGTTATAATGACCGTTTCGGCAGGCAATTACTAATGGTGTTGCTCCATTAACTCTCGCAGATATAACCATCTTTATTTCTGACTCTGATCTATTGGAGAGGGTATGCTGTAAATAAATTATTTCAATTATTGACAATTTTTATTTTACGTACACATATAGTACATACATGAAAAGTGAAGAGCTCATATACACTTTAATCTATGATACGGTCTAAATTATTATATAAATAGCTATTTTTGAAGGTTTTATGAAGAATGGAGAAAAAATAWAAGCTCAAATCCATCTGAATGAAAAATCAAATGCAAATGTTATTAAAAGTACTAAATTATTTGAAATAACGGAATAACTCATTTTTCAGGGGAATGTTAAAAATGATTTGCAATATTTTAGGAAATATAACATCTTTGCCCGTAA